TGCACGAGGGAGCACGCGTGTGCACTTGCATGTCTGCATTTCCAAGGTTAATGCGAGGTCATTTACTGAGCAAATAGCCTTGTCCATTACCTTGCACGCAGTCTTTCTTTAATAGCTCAGATGCACATAAGTGCTGTCTTGCTTGAAACCCCGCTGTCTCTCAATCTTACAGTCAGCCTTCACACTCATCTCATGGAAAGAGAGCGGAATGGAAAAGTCCCATGTAGAGGCAAATCCGGCTGCAGCCATGTCTTGCATATCTAAGGCTGTCAGGATGGCAAGAGCAGCTGATATTGACAAGGTGGTGGGTAGCCATGGAAGTACGAGTGGCGCACAGTGTGAAGATCACTTGCAGCCTTATTCTAGCTGGGCCCGTGTCTGGCTGGCGAGCGGGACCCATTGCCAACACTCACAAAGGCTGTAATGAGTTTATTTCATGTCGGCTGTGAAAGTGCTCGTCTACGTCTCGCAGGCACTCAGACAGAGTTGAGGCCCATAAACACAAAGTGCAGCGTGTAAATCCCCACCGCCTGACATCTCCCAGCCTGCCCTCTATGGCTTCTGAGCATCTCTTTATTGGGGTGAGGGAAGGAGACATAGGATCCTCACCTGCACCCCTGAGAAGACTCCACGGGCCTCTCCACAAGCCCCCCTCTAAAGACCACCTGTGTTGTAATCTTTAATCTCTCCGGCTCTCGCTTGTATCCTTGGAGAGAACATGTTTTTTTTTTTGTTTCTTTTTTCCTAGGTTACCAGAGCAGAGCTGATCGCTCAGCGTCTGTACATGACGTGCCTGTTGTAAACATTGGCAGATCAAAAACAGCACACTGTGATTTGCTTTGGATCGTGGTGTTTCACCTCTGACGAGCGCATTTTCCATGACGTCTATGATCTCTGCTTGTGCGTCTGTGCTGTCCGGTCTCTTGCCCTCCATGCAACACAGTCTGCTGCTCCCTTCTGTTCGCTTTAAGACGGCTTTAATGTTGACCTGTCATTTGAATTTAGTGATAGGATTTTGAGGAAAAAACACCATAGTTTATAGTTGTTGCCATTTTTGTTTTTATGTAAACGTGAAGCGACGACGCAGGGGTGGTCTATTATTTTACCATGTGAACAACGAAAACTGTTGTTGAAGGCCATTGGCTAAACACAATATTATGTTTTTATTTGATTATGCATCTGTAAAAATTATATTCTTTATCTTATTCTGGTAGCATAGTATTTTCTGTGTACCTTAGATAGAAAATACTCTCTTAAATATTGCCATAAAAATAATTTGCATTTGCATATTTTATCCCATTTGAATGAACAGCATTATTAAAGTCAACACCTAACGTAGAATAAATGAGGCCTGGGCTCCATAAAATGTCCCGGACTGTGTTAGAGAAATACTTTTTAGGGCCTCTTACCTTTTTTGAGGACAATCATTTCTTTATAGTCAGGTGAGTTATTTAAATTAGGATGGAATAGCAGTAAATTAAATATGCCTTTCCATTATAAAGAGACAGACTTCAGTAGATTTCTTTAAAAAAAATCAGATTTTATTCTTCAATAGAGCAAAAACAAAATTAGTGATAATAGTAGACAGTAAAAAATCCATTCTCTCCATTTATTGTTGTAAAATCTCTTAATTTTGTTATCAAATTTGAATAATTCTGTCTTCCATCTGTCTTCTCACATCGGACCAAGTAATTTTGCAGGAGAGTTTCCACCACTTGCTCTCATTTTCTCACAGAAATAATGTTTTCCATCTTGTTTTGGCTTTCCACTTTATTAAACAAAGTGTGATTGCTTTTCACCTCCCACCGTATTTAATTTTTTTTTTATAAAGGTACTTGTCAAGAATAAACAGATACAAAACCACGCTCGAGTTTGGGCACGTGAAGATATTACATAATGGTCAAAATGTACATACAAAACTGAGTAAAAGAGCTATACTATACCAGTATAGAAAAATAAACTCAATTCAATGAAACTTTCGAAGTTTATAATCAATTACCTAGGACCAGAAGACTTGTTTTTCCATAATTTGCCTTTTTTTCCCCCGGCTTCAATCATTACTGATGGACAAAGATCAGGAAAACATCTTGATACAGCATTAACCTTTAACATGAGATATGACTTTTCATTCAGGCAAAAGGCTCCAATTACACAGACAGATGGCTTTAAAAGCCACATATAAATCTGTGTCATCAGCATACATGCGTAGTCTAACTGGATGATCTAGTTTTATTCCAGTTTTTGGTTAAGAAAAATGGGTTGAATTTGCTGTTTTGCCAGTGCAGGCCAGGTTATCTGCTAAATATCCGTATGTAAAGGTGCATCATCATCTCAGGCCCAGGTAGTCAAGATGGGGTCACCAGTTCGAGGAGCGGGGAGGAAAACACGGAGGAGAATGCAAGATGTTTGCCAAAAAAGACGAGTTTCTATCGCTCCCTCTCTCTGACATGGCTTTGGTGCTGGTTGAGGGATTAGACTGTGAGCTTCCATCACACTCTTTGTTGGCTTGTTTCCAGATATTATCTTTAAGTGTGAGCTCAGCGCCAATCTTCTCTTTTCTATTTCCCTCTCCCACCCCTCCTTTTGTGTATGAAGTCAGTGGTGTGAGTCATCCCAGGCTGCTCGGGGAGTGATTTAATTGCTCTCTCCCCTCCTCCTTTCAACATGCGTGCCTCGAAGAGGGCTGTCACTGACCCCTCTGCTCCTGTAAAAAAAACAACAAAAAAAAACAAAACACTTGCACAGCAAACGTTGGGCCACCCATGAAAACACATTGGAAATACCAACTCGGCGTACCCAGGCGATGCCGAAACAATGCTGCTGCGTCTGCTTTGCTTTGCTGCGATAACTTTTTGGTATTGTGCAGCCCTGCTAAGTGAGTGTGAGCACAATATGGGGAGATAACTCCCACAGCAGCAGAGGAGCTTTTGTAATTGCAGTTTAGAAGTGGGGGGGTGGGGATCCTTATGTCGCTTCTACTTTTTAAGTCAAGAGAATTGTTTTTTCATTGGTATACTCACTGTTATTTAAGCTAAAATCAAGTCATTTTAGCCCATTCAGAGAGAGGTTTACTTTTTTATTTGTTTTCTTATTTAAACCTTTTGATTTTATGTTTCGATGGAAAAAAATCCTTTTCTCAGTCTGAGAGGCTTCCCTTGAAATCGTAGCACCCATGCTGCGAGCTTCACACACTTCGTCGTACCGACATCTGTGCGTTTTTTCCATTCTCCTCTCTGCACTTGTGAGGTGAGACATGAGGTGGCACTGTTCTCGCAGACGAACGGGTTGGTGTCAGTGGGGGTGTGATTCAGAGAGAGAGAGAGAGAGAGCGAGAGAGTTGCCTCCTAGTAGGGAATGGCAGAATGTGATTAAATATAGGGGTCTGCCTTGACTTGGCAATACCCATTTGTATGAAACCCTTACAGATGAAAGAGCTGTTTGTTGTTAATGGGGGGAAGTAATTCTCACACCTCTGCTGCAGCTGAATCTCCTTCACGGCGACGTGGTCCACCGCCGACACTGGCGCCGTGATAGACGGAGCTCAAAATGGGGTGAGGAGGCTAAAATGCCACCGTGATTACAACAATTAGAGAGGCTGAGCAGGAAGTAGAGCGCGTTGCTCCGAGGGGGCCCCCCCGAGTGGAATTTTTCTCCCCTGTGATGCTGATGAGTGTCTCCAAGTTGTATAGCAGCAGACAGGGATCAATGGAGAATGCTGACTCTTGAGAATACCATGAATGTACTCTAGCCTGCCTGAGATGGCTACTAATTCAGAATGATTATGCAGTGTGGACTTTGCTCTCGGCCCAGTCTAGACAAACGGTACACATGAGGGCACTGGCGCACGTGTGCGGATGCAAGAAGAGAAAAAAAAAATCAAGTCAGGACGCACAAAGATCACACATTTAATGCTTTTGCTTCACTTATCTCCCTGCACCATCACCACTTTCCCAGATTTTTTTTTTTTTTTTGCTAGATTTAACTAAAGATTAAACTAAAGCCAAACAGATGTTGCCTCCATTGCTGAGTTTTACAGCACTGAGCCATCACCAGGAGGCAAAGCTTTCAGGAACACGAGAAAAGTCCTGATGCTTACTTTCAGATCCCCTCGCTCCTTCCCTCTCACGCTCATTTCAGCTTACACTCTTCATGCTACTTTGCCGCACAAACAGACGGCGCATTTCTGAAGGAGCCACAGCGCTCATCTCCAAATGCTGCTCTGATTTTGCGTTCAAAGGCTTCCAGATGTGTGTAGGTGTCAGTCAGTCACATCTGAACAGTGCACACCAAATTAAAGCTGTGATTCAGTGAATACTGTATGTTTACACTCTGCCTGGGCCACGTAGTATTTGCTAATGTTATTTATTTTATATTTTTGAATTCTTAAAGCTGCAGTATATTACTTTTATACCTTTTTTTTGTATATTTGTTAAAGCTGTCACTATGTCGTGACGGTATAATATGAAATAGATAATCTGCGAAAAGATTGAGCTCTTCCACCTCCTCTCTGAGCTTCCATATGAACGAATGCAACCAGAGCCAGGAAGAAGGTCATAGAAACGACTTACTGTCTCAGGACAGCTGTCACTGCTCTCAGGAAGATGCTGTAAGGAGCAAAGGTGATGAGGGGTATGAGTGATGTGTACACAAGCCTAATTGTCAACACCAAGATCCTCCTTCTGGCTCTGATTGGTTGTTTCCAGTTGGCATCAGGAGAAAGCAGAGGAGATCAATTTCTTTTCACAGGTTATCTGTTTCGCATCATACTATCACGACATAGTGACAGTTTCAACAAAAATATAAGTAAATATTTTTTATAAAAGTTACATACTTCAGCTTTAAGTGTCTAAAAGATATTAGATATTAAGTGATGGTCAAGACTTTTTAATGTGAAGAACTTGAAAATTAAAATGCGTTGATGATTTTGTACATGAAATGATTGTCTGTGTGATTGATTTTATTGATTAAATCTCATGTATGCCTCTCATCTTCTCTTGCAGCTAAGCTGGAACTGCAAGTCCCAGAACTCCCAGTGGTGGCGCTGCATGGAAAAGACGTCGCCCTCAACTGCTCCTTCAACCACACGAGTCCCTTCAACCTGTCCGACGTGACTGTGTTCTGGCAGCTGACTGACACCAAGCGCAGCGTCCATGGGTTCTTCATGGGGCAGGACCAGCTGACGGAACAGGCAGAGAGCTACGCCAACCGAACCAGCCTCTTCCCTTCCCAGCTGACCATGGGCAACGCTTCACTCCTACTACGAAGGGTGGCGGTTGCTGACGAGGGCAGCTATACCTGCTTTGTCAGAGTGCAAGAGTACGACAGCGCTGCCTTGCTGCTGCAGGTCGCAGGTGAGTTGAGTTGTGACATCTGTGACAGACGGGGTGATGGGGGCTGCATTTTTGGAGCAGTGGGATCACAAATAAACTGGTGATCAAAAGTAAGAACAGTTCTTGAACACTTGACAATATAAGAGAAAAATATAAAAGTTATAGGGCTGGACAATAAATCAATTACAACATATATCGCTATAAATATGTGTTCAATGTAAATAGCTAATATATCTGATAGAATATTAAATAATTTCACTGAACTCTGATCCAAAACCGCACAGTATTCTGGGGAACGTAGGCAGAAGAAAGGCTCAACCTCTCTATGCAAGGTTGGTGGCTCGCTCCTTGGCTACCTAGCAACAACCTGTCGAGTAACTTGAGCAGCAGCAGTTTAACGTTTCGCCACCATGCTTCAAAACTGCTTAAAAATAAGAAAGAACGGCATGGAGTGAAAACTGGATAAAACAGAAAAGGTCAGGGCAGCAATATTTCAGATGTTTAAAAAAAAAAAAAAAATGAATCAATGTTTATTGATATCGACTGATATGAAACGCTTGTATTGTGATATGTTTTTCAGCCATTTTCAACCTAATTAAATAGGCCATCTGGGGTTCGATTCACCAGCCTGGGGTTTTTGCCTCACGTCTTCTCCCCCTCTCTCTCAATGGCCAATTTCTGTCTGATTACTGTGAAGAAAGGCTACTAGAGCCTCACAAGGTCTTTGTTTCTAAACAGCATCTTCATTTTGCAGCAATGACTGTGGCATGGAGAACAATTACAACTAAAGTTCCTGATGGATACAACAGTCAACAATTAGTCGAAAGTATACAGGTCCTTGCTTTGAATAAGCTCAGCACATCTCTAGTCTTGGTTGGCCATCTTATTATTTAAGTGTTTTCATTTCCAAGGGACTGCTTTGTCTGTTTCGCTGTGTGACAAACTGTTTTTCTCTGCCATGTAGATCCTTTTGCACAAAACGTTCTTGAAACAATAACCCTTCCATCTCCACCTTTCACTTGTTTCTTTAGACTTTGTGCTCAGTCTTTTTCACAAACAGAATATTACCTTTGCGACCCAAAAACCATTACTTTTAGGGCCAAAGTAAACTTTGGATCACTTCTCTTTTCAGCAGTAATTTTCAACCATGAATGCCAACATGCTTTCTGCTTCAGCTGAAATGACTTGCCAAACTCCCCTCCAACAATACATGATTTATTATTAATTTTATATAAATGCCAGGGAAGTCAGATGCACTACTGTTCTTTATTTTAATCAGTTTTCTTTTGTTGATGTTTTTTGTTTTGTTTTTACCTGGTGCCTCAGAGTATGTGCAACTTAGCAAACAAATACGTTTTGCTCGTCTCTCATTTTCGGATACTTTGGAATATGACTACAAAGTGATCTTGACATTTAGGAAATTCTGTTAATTTTGATCTCCAGTGCAAGTGGCAGGCGTTCACAAAAACCTGCAATATGAACCGGTGTTGTAGCTCTGTGTAAAATACCCAAATAACTAATTAAATCTCAGGATACAAGAATAACTCAGGTGATGAACTTTGCAAAAGCCAATAAGGATGATTGTGTTTGCAAAAAACAAAACATATTTTTAATGAACTAAAATTAGAAACATATATTAAATTAAATTAATTTAGACTTTTTAATCAAATATCGGAAGCACCTCGAGATGTTTCCAGCCCATAAAGCGCAGGCACAGTTTCTGAGACGTGTTCACTAAACAAACAAAATAATACATTTTTAAGAGATCACTGCTTATTGTGCCTTCTCACACACACACACACTTATGGCACAGTTGATTTAGGATAATTTCTTCCCACAAGATGTAAACAGGTAATAAACGGCTTCCTCTGGGCTGCCGAGGATTGTTTTTTTGTCAATACGCGCTGATTGTGGTCCTTGTCATGGTCAATATGTGCTGACTTTGATTATTAGCTGTTGTCACGGTCAATCAACCATCACTAACATCTTCCGTCCTGTGAGACCACATTGCCCCTCTTCACAGTTGAGAGCCTTTTATTTATTTATAATGATATTGTGTGCCTTCCCTTCCTTCTCACATTTCTATATCTGTTGTGAGATTGCTTCAGATCCTCCCAGGAAGGATGTGTATTGGGAGGTGTTGATAGCTAACATTTTTTGATCTGTCAGTGTGTCCTGCAGTGACAAATTGGTTTGATTTTATGGTGAGCATTATTAGATGTTCTATTTTTGGGCTGCATTTGCGCTTAGTACTGCAAACTTTCTTCACGCTGTGCTGAAAGAAAATGAAAGCGGGCCTTGATGGAAATCTGTAAGTCAAATGCACAGCTGGAGTCGGTGCTCATTCTGTCTCGGTGTTGAGAGCCCCACTTTTTAAAAAGCAGTAAAGACAAACTTATTTAATCTCAACTTCAGCTCCTTCAGCCTTTGCTTTGCTGTGCCATGATTGTCTCTTCTTTTCTTCCTTTTTTACTTCTGTTTTACCTTTCGGGGTTGTAAAAAGGTGTTTTTCTCTCCAAGTCTGACAAAAGATCTTTCACCTCCTTCCTTCTACATTTTTGGTGCCATGGGCTGTGCAGTCTCAGATTCCACATGAGCTATCCATTTAGTGTTCTCCCAGGGACTGCCAGCTCTCTTTTTTTGCTTCTGCTATGTGTCACCACCTCTAGAGGGCCAAATCCCTCTCAGGGAGTTGGCTCGGTTCTCCAGAGGGAGCATCTTTGGAGTAAAGCAGCATGGCATTATTGCTACATGTAGAAGATGTCTCTGTCTGTAGGATCTGAGGTTGTCTGATACACTAAGCTCCTTAAATATAATTAGGAACTTAATTGGAAACATATCAGGCAATTTTGAGGGTGAAACTCACTGCAGACAACCTGAAAAGAAGAACACTGAGTCGGCGTTTCTGCTGTCCTTTTGTCTCAGTAGACTGTTTCATAAAACCGATACATCAGAGATGTGCAAAAAGAAACCCTTCTCTAAGCTGCCTCAAGCAGTTCTGTCCCACAAACATGAACTTTCACAGTTGAACCACAGCCAAAGGAGTTGGGGTGCAACACTCAGCAGGGTCAACATTGTTGTCTTGCCCACACCTCTAGTAGAATTGTATGCGTAATATTCTGTTTTTGGACACATTGTGATGTGAACATGGCTGATAATCATTTTACAAATGTCACGCAAGTGTGGCACCCAGACACATAAAGACACAAGGAGGTGGAAGATTAAGAAGCACATCCAGTATGTTCACTAAAGAGAAGATGACCACACAGACGCGGTACAACTAAAATGAAAACGTGTCATACAGCACACAGGAGAAACTATTTTACATGTTTTTATCTATAGGTGGAGGAAAACAAGCTGGTTGTTCCTTGCCAATGTGCCTAGGTGGGACCCATGTGAGGGAAAGGAGGGCTGATATATGGGTCCCATATGGGTTTGTCTGCGGGTTCCACGATGGCCCCACATTGGTTTGCCCATGTAGGGCCAGAGCCCACATGGGCCCTACATGGGCCCTAAATGGACAAACCCATGTGGGCCACCATATAGAGGGCCCATGTAGGGCCCATGTGGGCTCTGGCCCTACATGGGCAAACCCATGTGGGGCCATCGTGGAACCCGCAGACAAACCCATATGGGACCCATATGGTCTCCCCTCCTTTTCCCCACATGAGGCTCACCTAGGCATGCTGGCAGGGAGAGGACCGTTAAGCGAGTGCTAGTGAAGTTTTCCCCTAATTCAGAAAAGGCAAAGCTAATTATTATATTCATTGCAGTTGTCGTCTGTCGTTGGGACAATGGATTGTTCTTTGGATTCATCATCACAAGATCACTACAAGGATCTATGGTCACGGACTTTTGTCTAGCTAAGCGCTTTTATTTTGTTTGTTTATTTGATTTATGAATTATAAAGGAATGCAGTAATGACACTAAGAAGAATTTAGATGAAGGTGCTTTTGGAAAAAATCTTGGGTCATATTGCATCAATAATTGATTTCTAATCACAAGAGTGACAACTCTTTCAGTAGTTGTCACCAGTACCAATAGAGCTATCTATTTCAAAGTTCAGTCACCTACTGTCTAGGTGCACTTAACTAATGACAAATTCAGTGTCTGCTTATGGCAAGAAACGATGCTCATGACACACCTTAGGGGTCCTGATGTCTTTTTACCTCAGATAAACCTGTCACCAGATCTACTTACCGTATATCATTAGCCGGCTAACTGTTAGCTCTTCTTTCTGCTCTCCTCCTGCAGCTCCTTATACCAAGCCTGAGGTCACGTTGGAGCCTGAATCCAACCTGCGGCCTGGGGACGAGGTGGCCCTGACCTGTGTGGCCTATGGTGGGTATCCCAAGGCCGATGTCATATGGCAGGACGGGAGCGGACGCAACCTGACGGACAACATCACAACTTCAGTGGTGGCCAATGAACAAGGGCTGTTCACCATGACCAGTGTGCTGACCGTCGTGCTGGAGCCCAACAGCTCCTTCAGCTGCAGACTGATCAACCCGCTGCTTAGTGAAGAACGCTCCATCTTTGTCACAGTCACAGGTGGGTGAGGGTTTTCTCAGCTACTCTGTGCTGGCTGGTGTGCGTGTTTGAATTTCATCACTGCACAATCTACAGACCAGTCTTGTTTCCAGTGGAGCATCTCCAGAGTTTCTCATTAAAATGTTGTATACTTTTGTGAACCAGTCTCTCTGCCGAGTTTTCCCGCTGTGGAGTTTTAACACTGTGGAGTGTTTTTTTTTGAAGCTGCAATGAAACCACTGGGAAATAAAGAAATTTTTTCTTGCACTGCAGAAAGCTTTACCTGTCAGTTCTTTTGCATGGTTAAGTTAGATCAGTGGGGGATATTTTCTCTAAGTGTAGTCAAGTTGCTGTTTATCAGAAACTTCAAAAGATTTAGCAGTATAATGAACTCATGCGCAAAAAGGAAGTGACTGGTTCTCTAGATGTTCTCTACAGGAAGTACCCTGTCAACCGTAGACTGGTTTCACATGTTTACCTTTCTCAAATCACTTACACTCTACTTGTGACAGCAGCGATGTGATGATTTTAATGGTCTTTTCAGCCTCACCTCAAGGCACCACCCAGCCGTGTCTCCCTGGCCCTGCTGGTGTATTCTCTGTGTTAAATGTGACGAGAATGCCATGTAAGGGTGGGCTAGGGCTGGGTCTCTAATGGGAGCAGCACTGTGTGAAATGGCTCATAAATAAGAAGAGGTGGCCCAAGCTGGCTCTCTGGTCTGCAGCTGGTGCTGGTGCTCGGCCTGTTGAGATGGAGGTCAAGGCAGAGGTCAGGGAGTGCTGCTCCACTGGGCTGGGAAATGACTGTGCTGTCTGGAAACAGGACGGCCGATTGGCAGGACTGGACGGCTGAGTGAAGGTGGCCTTTCTAACAGTTTGCTTGCCCTCAGAACAGGACAGATAACCAGTCAGAAGGACCAATGGGGAGGTGGGGAAGTATTAAGCACACAATGACAATACAAATATAACTGGAGAAGCTGTTTTGGTAGTGTGTTGCTGTGGCTACCTTTGGTTTCTCCATTTTATGAGACTGATGCTCTTCTGCAGGTTTGGTTGTAGTCTATCATTTAGTGCCTCTGCTGCGCCTCTCATTCATTTGGATGGCTCATTTGTAAAATTATTGAGTAAGCCACATAAATAAATTAGTGACGGGACTCTATTTAAAATTTTTAATCAACTGAATTACAGGGTGTGTAATTCATTAATCTCAGTTAATTGCATTTTATTCAAAAACTATATGTCAACGAAGCAACATTTCCAATTGAAAGGCCAGATAAATTGTTGCATAAATTGACAGATATTTATTGTTTCTAATCTGTTATTTAGGTTATTCAACCATCAAATCGATGCAAAGTGCTGTAATATCATTCCTATTATACCACTGATCATTCATGAAATTTATTTCAAAAAATACTTCTTTGGAAATATGAAGTATGGCGTTGACATTAGCGTTGGGGACGTCTGTTCTTGCTGGAATATGTTTGGCATTGAGATGGTATTTCAGGCTAGAATTGGTTCAGTGATAGGCCAACTCCTTTTAGCACAACTTGCACACAACAGTCTTTTCCAGTATCCCATCAGGCTGCTTTTTTCTAAAAAGCAAAAATAAACCCCATGTGGGTCAAGAGAAGCAGATTTGTTGTCCATTGTTGTTGTTTGTGGATGTTGTCTGTGCATAAAATTTACAGGCCTACCAGAAACACACAAATACAAAGGTTCTGGCCAGAACAGAAATGTGAGTAATTGCATTAAAATTTTTATCTATCTAATTAATTAATTAATCAAAATGAACCCATTAAAGTACCTGCCATCACATAAATGATTTAGGTCACTTTGCATTTGTGCTGGTTTTCATTGCATGATTAGCACAGAGATTGTAAGCCTGTCAAGCTAAACATTTCGCCTGTCCAGATTTGGTTCCTTGGCATGGATGTAGAAGAGACCAGTGGTGAGCAGAGATACGATTCAAGGTCTTAAAATACAACAAACAATCATGGCATAAGCATAAAAGAGTCTAAAATGGTCAGCAGGAACGTTGCTCATTTATTTTTTGGAACGACAGCCAAGGGACACGCTGGAGTGGCATCAAAGGACACAGATACTCATTCAAATATATTACTGCTGCTGCTCATAGGAAATTAATGTCATTACCTTTAGCCTGAGTGTCACGGGCCTCTTATTCCTCTGACTGATTTATTCTTGAAATTAAAAAAAAAAAATTAAACATCACAAATCATATCCTAAGAGTTTTGGGCTTTACTCTTTCTCTGGATTCAGAAGCAGAAGGTGTTAACATTTTATGTAGTTGTAATTTGACAGGCACCAATTCTTTCAATCTGACAGACTGATTCCAAATTTGACTGGTTCAGATTTTTTTTTTAATCCAAGGAATATAAGAGGAATGTGCTGCATGTTCCTTAATAGAGTCTGTGTTGTTGAATCCATCCCAAAAATAAAGGATTTCAATTTTATCCCTATTCATGTATCAAAGGATGTGTCCATAATCATTATCTGAGAGTTACTGAGCTTCAAACCAGTGCATAAAAATATTGTGCATGCTGTCGACTGTTGTGTTCATAGAAATCTGTCAACAAAATGGTGCAAATTCTTAGTTTGATGCATTTTTATAGGGAAAAAACTGATTGCAGTGTGTCTGATCACAAATCAGAGCTGATTGCAGGAAGATTTGCTGAGCCTAATCTCTAGCTGATTGACTGGTGCATTATTAGCTGTTGTGTCTATTTGCGGCTTAATTTCAGTGTGGTAACACAAAATTTCAAGAAACAATCCAGCAAAAGCCTCATTCACAAAATAAAAGATATTAAGTCACTGGGTGAAAGAAGAGTTTGATCCCCAAACAAAACATGTCTTAAAACTGGGCAGACGACTCTCTTTTATTTTTTTCTTTGGCAAGCATAAAATATTTCTGACTTTCTGATGTTTTACACACCTTAGGATGAATTTTGATCAGTTAATCTTTTCAGAAACTTTAGGCGTATTGTTGCTTATTGACATGACTAATTTATTTCTTCTTTAGCCACCTCTTTGTTACCCAGTCTTTCAATGTCCTTGTAAGACTGGGTACAAGAACATTGTAAGACTGTTCTTACAGTCTTACAATGTTCTTACATTGTCTTACATTGTAAGACTGTTCATTGTAAGAACAGTCTTACAATGTTTTTGTAAGACTGAAAGGACGAAATCATAACCCATCTTTAGTCTTTCATATGAGGAAAGAACATTCTCGTCCAAGAGTTTTTTTTTTTTAAACACTGTGTTGAGTTCACTCTGTCTCCTCTAGGGATGGGTGAGATGAACTTCAATGTTCATCACCATATTTTGTGTTATCTATTGCAAAAATGAGAAATGGGACGATAAAAAATAGTAGCTTGTATAATAATAGATTATATGTCTATGACCAACTTACAGATGATTATAGAGACTACTTCAGGACACCACAAAAATAAAAAAACCACAAAATTTTACAGCTGTTAATAGTTCTTGTCATTCTCATGGAACCTACATAAAATAAATGAATACATAAAAAGTAATAATCTCAAAGATGCATTTAGTTTTTGGAGGTTTCTATGCATCCTACTTATCCTGATAATTCAAGATTCTCATGATGATAAAAAATAATTCACTGTAATAATGATTTTACACCCTTGGTTGCCACCACGTCTGTTTGGTTGCCAAGAAGATGCTGTCTGAGTCAAACTCATTATTTCTCCTCCTACAAATGGAGGAGCTCAGCATTGGTATCATTCAACCACATCACATTTCCTCAAGCCTTTGCTGAATCATTGAAATGTTGTTTTGCAAAGTTTTAGACAGGCATGCATATGTTCTGTTCCCGAAGAATGCAAGGTGATGATACATTACAGAGCAGTGTCTTACCAGCTGTGTTTCGGTGATTGCCTTCATGGTAATTACGAAGCTCCTCCGGTGTGGTTACGGATCGAAAAATCTCGCTTGGATTTCCAGGTTTTAATAAGCAACAGCTTTCAAGCCTTTGGCAGATCTACTATCTTGTCCCCGACATCCTTGGCCCATTGTGCTGGAGAGGTTGGAGTGGAAGAAATTGATCCAGTCAAGAGGTGTACTTTAGTCACATAAAGAGTTGTGATCAGGCGTTTCTGGAATTGATTTGAATTATCGATCTTTGCGCTACATGACGACATTCTGTCTTGTCAGTAGGGGGTCAAATACTTGTTTCACTTTCATTCATACCACTTTAAGGAATGGCTTTCTTTTGGTTTCTTTGTTGATGTTCTCTCTCTTGCCATTAAAGTGAAACTATTAGGAAACTTTGAAACTTTCCCTATGAATGAGAGCAAATTGACAAAATGAAAAATAAACAAAAAATAAGACACCAAGGCGTTTTCCATCTCAAGTAATCAGTTCTTAGAAAACTGACAGGCCTATTTGTACACAAAATGATAAAGAAAACCAGACTAAATCAACAGACCCCACTAAAGAAAAAAACCGAGAGCAGAGCGAAAGTCTGGAGAGAAGTGAAGCTGCTTAAGTGCTATGCAGCAAAGACTCTTTAAAGGGACGGCAAAGGAAACAAATCCACAAGTAAACCTAGGGAAAACCTGTAATTAAAGCGTTGGTGACTGTGGTTTTCTGCAACTGGGTGCACATGAATAAGAGTCATTTCTCAGCTGGAGTGCTACAGCGCAGCTTGATGATGGCCCAAGCTGTTTGTAAATACACAGAAGATTTATAGTATAGCGCGTGGCAAGATACAAGGGGGGCTTGTTTGAAATAAACCCACGTTTGCGTTTGTTTACAACAGCTGGTGTGTGCTTAACAGTTTCTGTAATTAATTTTGACCGAACAAAACTCTTCTGCTGGAATTGCTTGGTTGGTAAAAACTAATTTGTCTGCGGTATGCACTGTAAAATGAGCACACAAACACACTTTCCCAGCCTCTCCGGCAGCGGTGAATCCAAATATGTGCGTTGATGAAATCTGCTTAACATTCTGAAGGGTCCATGAAAGAAGGAGGAAAATCTG